AGGGAGAGACCCCTTCACCCCGGGAGAGCCTTGTCACCCCGGGAGATCCTGCTTGTCCCAGGAGAGCCTCGTCACCCCGGGAAAGACCCCTCACCCCGGGAGATCCCACTCGTCCCGGGAAACCCCGCTTGCCCCGGAAGAGACCCATACCCCAGGAGAGACCCCCAACCCTGGGAGAGGATCCCCGCCCCGCCCGGAATGACTGTTGTGCGTGCACCAGGCGGCCGGGGCGCTGTGGAGGACGAGGAGGACCTGCCAGAACTGTCGGACAGCGGTGATGAGGCGGCCTGGGAAGATGAGGACGAGGCCGATCTCCCCCAAGACAAGCAGCAGACCCCCTGCCTGTTCTGTGACAGGTTCGTCCGCCTCTGCGCGCGGTCCCAGCCCCAGGCCCGAGTGCCCGGGACCTCGTGGGGTCTGCGTGGTCTGCCCAGGAGTCGAGCCAGAGTGGCCTGCCTGTCCTTGAATTCTTGAACCACTGACTTGGAGTGAGAACTTGTTGAGAAGACCCACAGTGGTTCAGAGAAAGGACCCATGAGCAGGAAGCCAGGTTATATTCTCAGTCTTCGATGGGCCTCAGTTTCCCCTTCTGTAAAATGAGATTGCCCTGGGTTGAATCTGTGGTTCCCAAATCTCGTCACCCGAGACATTTAAAAAAAATATATATATATAAACCGGACTCAATGGCTCAGCCTGTAATCCCGTGCTTTGGGAGGCTGAGGTGAGTGGATTGCCTGAGTCCGCGGGTTCGAGACCCGCCTAGGCAACTTGGCGAGACCTCATCTCTACAGTAAATCAAAAAATTAGCTGGGCGTGGTAGCGCGCGCCTGTAGTTCCAGCTACTTGGAAGGCTGAGGCGGAAGGATCGCCGGAACCCAGTAGGTCGAGGCTGCGGTGACCGGGAGCATGCTACTGCACTCCAGTCTGGGCGACAGAGTGAGACTCCAACTCAAAAAAAAAAAATTAGATTAGATTAGAGTAATAGATAGAGAACTCTGCACCTGGGTCCCTCTAAATCAGGAACAGATAGATAGATTGATTGATTGATTAGTCAACTCTGCACCTGAGTCCCTCTAAATCAGGGATAAGGGTCAAGGAATCGTCTGTTTTCATGAAGACCCTATCAGAGGTGACTCTCCTAAGTAACAAGTTTGGAGCCACACTGAACTAGAAAATCCCTGAGGCCCCCTAAGTAACAAGTTTGGAGCCACACTGAACTAGAAAATCCCTGAGGCCCTTTCAACTGCGCTGTATTCTGTAATTCGACCAGTAGTGGGCAGTCTCCAGTGTAACATCTCTATTTGAGCCCATTTAGATAGTCTCTTGGTTCACCTTCCTTAATGGGGGCTCCCCACCTATTGAAGAAGAAGGAATGGATGCCTTTTTCACTTAGGGTAAAAGAGACTGCAATATCAGTAACTTGCTCAAGGTCACAAAGTTGTAGTGTGTCTTATTCCCAAATTCACATTCTTTCCACTTAAAATTCTGCCTCTTAGTCTCAGGAAGCTTTGACTTTGGTTGCTGTCCTGGGCAAGTAGGCGTGAAAGAGGCCTGGCTGGCATTGGCCAGTGTTACCTTAATAAACATTTCCCAGTGTTCCTTATATCTGGGCCTGGTGCGGATTCGTGTTCTCATGTGCAGCCTCATTGAGTAGGTAGAATGTCTACATATACACTGGTTGTCATGAAAAAATACTTATTGAGCACCAGGGGTGCAGTGCCTGTGATAGGCTCCATAAATACTGCAAATAACCTATCTCGGTAAACATTTGTTGAAAACGAATGCAGCAAATGTGCTAGGAATATAGATGAACTAGGCAGCATCTCTACTGTGCATTCCCAGCAACGTGTCCTTCAGTTTTGCAGGTCACATCATAAAGAGGCTTGATCCTCACAGTGTCTGTAATGCAAGTACTTTGGGAACACTACAAGATCGCTTTTGAAATAAGGCAATTTGGGATTGTGCCAGTGGTAAAATTACATTTTATGCTTTATTTCTGAAAAGCAGTTTGAGCTGTGCCAGTTCAAACCTCTGAAAGCAGAGTTGGCACTAAGAGGAGAAAAGACTCTCAAATAGGGAATTGTTATGACTCGAGAGAAACAGACTCTATCAAAGGAACTCTTTCTTTAAAGCCTTTTGATAAATTCAGAGATGTTATTTGGCAAATAAGTTAACATTGGTATTTAAGGGGTAATTTGTGTTAGGTGTAAAATGGGACTCAGAAATACTAACTTCCTTTAAAAGTGCTGGGTTCCATTTCTTTCGGATACAGTTGCATTTGTTTTTCTCACCTGGAAATAAAGCTAAAAACCAGCAGAGTGAAAACAGTGTATTTAACATGAAATCAATATTTAGACTTCTTGGAAAACTATTTCATGAAGCTGTTGTTTGATTTTTCAGGTTATTCATATCTGCTGAAGAAACATTTTCACACTGTAAGTCTGAGCATCACTTTAATATTGATAGCATGGTTCATAAACATGGTGAGTATTTTTTAGAGTAAAGACAAGTAACATTATGAGATGTAAGTGTAAGTTTATAAGTTTCTCTTCTATACAAGATTCACTGTATTTAAGCTTATATTGGCTTTACAACTAAAAAGAAACATTTGGCATGTGATAGCATTTTTGTCATATCAGAGTTAGGTTATTTGAAAACAAACAACTTAATCAGGTCAAAGCATAACATGTGTTTCACTGCCTACAAGATTGAGTTTTATAAGATTGGGAGAGTATGGAAAAAGAGATAAGGTAACATGCAAAGTATTCAGGTGATGTTTCTATTGAAATTTCTGTGTAAATATACCTTAAATTTAAAGCCTTCCACTTCTTTAAATGGATGTAGAAGAACACCATTCCACTAAAATTAACTAAATTCAGTCCAGGAAAGGTGGCTCATGCCTGTAGTCCCAGCGCTTTGGAAGGCCTGGGTGGGAGGATCACTTTAGCCCAGGAGTTTAAGACCAGCCTAGGCAATATAGTGAGACTTTTTCTCTACCAAAAAAATCAAGAAATTAGCTGGATGTGGTGGTGCACGCCTATAGTTCTAGATACCCAAGAGGCCAAGGAGGTTGGATCCCTTCAGCCTAGGAGTTCCAAGCTGCTGTAAGTCATGATGGTACCACTGTACTCCAGCCTGTCCAACAGTGAGACCCTGACTCAAAAAAAAAAAAAATTAATTAAATACAAAATTGACTTTTTGATTGCTGTATTTTTTTAGCAACTAGAACGGACATTCTTGAAGAATAGTAAATATTAGACAGAGTTTTAGGTCTCAGGTAAACATGATATAACATGTTTATAAATCAAAATTCAACAGCAACCCCTTTTGTAAGGCATATGAATGACACCGTCATGTTTTTCTTGTTTTTCATGTTGCATTTTTAAACTGAATAGTAATCACACTTTAGATTTACTTTTGTATTTTTGATTTTTCACTTACCAATATGGTTGTTTTGTATGAGGGGGAACCCTCAAAAAACTGGAATTTATGTAAAAAATTGTGTATTTATTCTTACATGTTTGAATTTCAGGCACAGCCGGGCTCGGTGGCTCAGCCTATAATCCCGCGCCTTGGGAGGCTGAGGTGAGTGGATTGCCTGAGCCCGTGGGTTCAAGACCCACCTGGGCAACTTGGCGAGACCTCATCTCTACAATAAATCAAAAAATCAGCCGGGCGTGGTAGCGCATGCCTGTAATTCCGGCTACTTGGAAGGCTGAGGCGGAAGGATCGCCGGAGCCCAGCAGTTCGCGGCTGCAGTGGCCGGGAGCGGCCACTGCACTCCAGTCTGGGCGACAGAGTGAGACTCCAACTCAAAAAAAATAAAAATAAATAAATAAATAAATTTCAGGCACCTTCAAAGTACTCTTCATTTGATGCAGTATGCCCATCAAGACACTTTTTCCACTGTTGAAAACAGTTTTTGATCTCATCAATTTGGATGCTTTTTAGTGCTTCTGCCATTTTTGGTTTCAGTTCTTTCACATCAGCAAAACATTTCCCTTTGAGGACTTTTCATCCAGGCAAACAAAAAATAGTTTCTTGTGATGTGTCGGGAATAGGGAGGGTGGGGTGTGCTGTTTTTGGTAAAAAACTGCTGAACATTCAGCATGGTTTGGGCAGGTGTGCTCATAAATTACTCTTCATGAAATAGGAAAACACGTTGGAAGAATCTCCAAAAAACAATTCATTGAAGCCAAATGCAGCCTCTTACAACACCGCTAGCTGGTATACTGATGCTTGTGAGTTCCTAGAACACTTACTAGGGGTACCTAGTGGGAAGCCTGTACTACAAGGGGCTCACCCTCCAAAAAAGTAATTCAGGTTTTTTGGGGTTCCTCGTATGCTGTTAAAACTTCCTCATAACAGCAATTCTGTGGCATTTAATAACTTGTTGGTTAGAAATGTTACTGCTTTCCATTGTTTTAAATGCTGTTTTATTTTTGGAAAGATGTGAGAACTGGAGAACAAGCCTCATTGTTTTTTAATTTGCATCATTAAACTTCAAATGAAAGCTAGTATACACCATGTTCTGGCAAAATTATATTTGGTAGGCACCATAAAAATTAGGGCTTTAGAAACTTTCAGCTCTAGTATTAACTGCCAAATAGTTGGTAAAATCTAGGACCTAATTGTTCAGAACTGTACTGCTCTTACAAATGAGTAGAATTCTAAAAATTAATTTTCCATTAAAAGAAATGAAAAGCACTTAAAATTTGTCATTTATGTCTGTTTCTTAGAACATTCAGAAGTGTCAAAATTACTACTAATTTTTAGTTTAAAAGTCCAAATATTATGAATAGTAATTTAGAAGTCAGAAAAATCTTATTGGCTAATCAGAGAAACCTTTATAGAACAGGTCAACTAAACAAAACTCACATGTTAAAATAGGTGCATTATTTTTTTTTCCCCCTTTAGGACTTGAATTTTATGGATACATTAAACTAATAAATTTTATTAGACTTAAGGTAAGTTGACAGCTTAATTTATAATGTTTAGAAATTAAAGAAATGCCACAGTTACTGTGAATGCACTGGTTATTTGGAAGACTGAGGAACTGTTACATTAGGGACTGTTGTAAAGTTGATGCTCATCGTAATGGGGGTATCATGGACATTAGGAACTAGCACACTGCAAAGCACCAAGTAAATGTTTACATATAACTAACACATGTTGTTTTTAACCGTGTCTGAGAGCTGAATCAGTGTTATGTGAACAAGTAATTTAGTGTTGGATAAAGGGAAATACTGATAGTATCTGTAAGATTAGAAATAATATCTAGTGTGATTTCAAGTAGTTTGGTTGCTCTCTATTTTTTTTAAATACTTTTTTCTTTTTTTTTTTTTGTCCTTTTTAAATGAATGTTGGTATTGTCACTTTCCCCAAATTAAAACAATAAAAAATTCTTGCATTGAGACCATTAATTAAGCAGTAATCAGCAAGTTAATGAAATGACAGGTGAGATGCTGATTTTGTGTAACGCTGACACATGACTTCTTTTTTTGTTTAAATTCCCTAGTTTTTACTAGGGAGACTTTGTGATTATATACAATGAAAAAAAACATGCAATTAATTTTACATCCAGAATCCTACAGTTGAGTATATGAATTCCATATACAACCCAGTGCCTTGGGAGAAAGAAGAGTATTTGAAGCCAGTATTAGAAGATGACCTTTTACTTCAATTTGGTAAGATGAACATACTGTTATTTACTTTAATTAACATAAGACCATTCATTGTGGCAAAATGGAGGTAAAATGTTTAGGAAAAGATACCATCTTTTTAATAATCTGAAGACTGTATCAGGTAGTTGATTAAAAATTGACAGTTATACTAACATTACCAGAGAGGAATTTAGAAGTATTAGTTTGTTTGAGCATTTTGTGCAGGATGCTTTGAAACATAGAATTTTTAGTGGCTAGATATTCATTTAAAAAAACTAAATTTAATAATATTTGCTGCTTTTGTCTCATATATCCAGATCAGATCATTGACTTTTTCCTCTCTGGCATCACCTTTTATTCTTAAGATAGCTAATTTACTAGGTTTTAATGCAAAATAAATTCCACTCAAATTTTCATAGACTTATTCTTATACACTAACTCTTAAGCTTCCGTTGTGGCAAGGTCACTCTTATTTCTTGGATACAGGTTTTTTTAGTTATTTGTTATGTGCTCTGGTTTATTCCTTACTGAACAGAAGTCTTGAGAAAGACCGATGGTCTCTTACAGATACTTTATAGATCTGATCAATAGAAGTGAAATTATATATTCTTATTTATACTTTCTTTCATGCTTCTTGTGCCAGTCAGGGACTTATTCTCTTCAGATCAACAAAATCATTCAGTTTTTTTATTTATTTGTTTGTGTATTTTTTTTAAATCTTTTTTAGAGACAGGGTTATGCTCTGTTGCCCAGGCTCGAGTGCTGTGGTATGATTGTGTCTCCCTGCAACCTTGAATTCCTGGGCTCAAATAATTCTTCTGTTACAGTCTCCTGAGTAGGACTATAGGCATGTGCCACCATGCTCAGCTAATTTAATTTTTTTTTTTTTTTTTGGTAGAGATGGGGGTTGTACTATGTTTGGCCTCCCAAAGTGTTAGGATTGCGTGCATGCATCACCATGTCTGGCCAGCAACATTGTTCTAAATACACATATACCTTGACAGATATCATCTTGACAGTATGTATCTGACCAGTTCTTTGATTATTAGCACTCTTTTCCTTGAGAAACTCATTGAGTTGTATGGCAGTGTGATGTGATAGTAAGAGCCTTATTGTGGTATTTAGGAATTATGTGACTTTGGACAAAGTGCTTAACCTTTCTGGTTTTAAGTCTTTTCATCTGCAAAATGAGAAATTGGGACCAGATTTCTGAGATTCTAGCTCTAAAACTTGGTGATTCCCAGCTTGAGTCTTTCCCCTTTACACAAATTTCCTTTAATCTCGTTTCTCAGAAAGACCAAAGTGATGCCTTTAATCAGTGACGAAGTGTTCAGTAGTTGTTCTTTATGAATTCCTAAATTCAAAATCATCTATTAAGCGCAGGATGAAAGTAGTATGTTAAATGCTTTAAGAACACGAAAAAATGAACGTCACTATCCTTTCCAGAAGGAACTTCTAGTTTAATAGTAGGCATGTTGCTTTTTAATGTCTATCCTGTATTTTAATGTAGGGTAAAATATAAGTTTCATGAGAGATAGAAAAAGTAGTGCAGTTCACTAGAGGAAGAGGTTACTCAGATTGGCGACAGGTATTAGTTGAGTGCTGTATGCTGGGCACTGTGGACACAGATTAGTATGGAGCCTGTAACTGTCCAGATGTATATAAACTTAATTTCTTTCAGCCCTAAGTTTAGTTTGTGTCGGGGACCAGCCCGACCTGAGGGGAGTTGGACCTGCTCCAGGGAATCAGGACGGCGAGAAGAGACCACTCGGAGGCAGTTCTTCTGGGATCAGTCTGATCAGGACTGAGTCCAATTTTATTCAAACTTTTTCCAGCTTATATACCATTTTCTATAACCTCCAGCAGTATGACAAATACCTGCTGGGGGCTTACAGGTCTCATGATGCATAACGTACTTCACTAAAGATTTTTGCTTAAGGTAACAATTAACAATCAAAATTCCATGATGCATATCATGCTCCACAAAGCTTACATCAAGATAAGAAGTGTATGATTTCAGTAATAGTTTTGCTAACTGTTTTCTATAATATTTAATGATTAATCTGTATATTATAAGCTATTCTTATTTTTACCTAATGTAAAATTTCCTATTTTCTATGATTTAACAAAACACTCAAAATCTATACTATTTATTTTAATGTCCAGCAGTAAAAAATATTTCTGTCAGGGACACTGGTGCCAGACTCTGCTCTATGAAATGCTAAATAGAAGCAAAGAACGCTAACCACAGTGTTTGACAAACCCAGTGTGTACTTTACCATTGAAGTCTGCCGGACACTGAAGTCAACACCTTAAAGCAGAAATCCAAAGTGCAAAAGTATAAGTAAGAGTACTTTGGTTTTACTCTCCAACAGGCCCGTAACTGGGTTTCATTACTACCATACATAGGCATATTAGAGGGCAAATTCCAAGCAGAAGGAAGTGAAGTAGCAAGCACAGGTTCACATAGTGTTATATGTGGGTAACTGAACTGTGTATATATATATTTCTAAACTTTCTGATAGAAAATTTGATCTAAGTCAATTAATCAAATCATAGTTGTCACACTCTTGGACAATGAAATGCACGCTTGCCATGACGATGGCCAGGGGCGGAGGCAGGCTAAGAGTTTCAGCACGTAAAGAAACTAGGAACGTTCTACCTGGCTAGACGCAAGAAAACAAAACTATTAAAGCAATTTTGGCTTACAGGAACAAAAGCTGCATAGTTACTTCTGGGAGGCAGAAACTTAAGAATGGCTCAGAGAGTCAGAGAGAAATGGAAACTTAAAGCACAGAATGTTTTTCTGCTGTAAAGCTTTACCTAAAATTTTAGCCTAACTGGTTAAAAGGTTTACTTTCAAATAATATAAGCTTTTATGTCACATATACAAACTGGTCACTATTCATATATCAGTACTACAGGTGTCACTGATGCTTTTATGTCAAAAGCAGATCTCCAACATGGGCCTTCATAGGCCTCAACTGTATAGCTGTAGATGTTGGCTCCCAACAAGTTTGTAAGAAGGTAATAATGACACTTACTTTATAAGATTGTTGCAAAGATAATGCATACTAGCAGAGGTATCTGCCATAGAGTAAGTGCTTAATGAAGGAGATTTATTGTTTAAGTTCTACAGAGTTGACATGAAGAAGTCATGACTAAGATCTGGAGCAGTTACAGAGGCTTGTTAAAGGAAGTAGAACTTGAACTGGGGATGATTCTCAATGCACTGCTCACATTCTCTCTGATAATATGTGCTCCTGGCCACCAGCAGGGAGAGATGAAAGACAAGGTTGTTGTTTTCCTGGCTCCAGCCTTGATTAATGATGATTTCACTGCCACTCTCTTTCAAAGGTATTTATTGAGCACCTGCTAAGTATTTTGCTTTTAGAATATAAAGCTAAGTTAGTAAGAAAGATGGCTATGATAATAGGCAACTAATGTAGGCTGTAAGGATAAATAAAAGGTAACTTCACTGTGGAGTAACCTCGCAGACTACCTTAGCCAGGTAATCATCAGTAATAAGTCATGTTGAAAATGTATATCCTTGATGGGATGTGATGAGAATGGCACTTTTCACCTGTGGTCTTCCTCCTGAAAACCAATAACTAAAGTCTAATTATGAAAAAAAAATCAGAAAATCACAAATTGAGAACCATTCTACAAACTGCCTTACCAGCTGTCTTATAACTGTCAAGGACATGACCAAGGAAAGCCTGAGAAACTGTTGTAGCCCAGAGGGATTTAGGGAGACATGACAACTAAATGTATTGTTGTATCCCAGATAGGATCTTGGAACAGAAAAGGGACATTATGGAAGAAAAAACGGACAAACAAAAACCCAAGGAAATCTGAATGAATCAGATGGAGTTTAGTTAATTTTTAAACAAAGTATGTATAATATTTGGAATATATTTCACAAAGGGTTAACATCTTTTCTACATAAAGAATACTTTAAAATTGAAGTATTCAAGGCTGGATGCGATGACCCACACCTATAATCCCAGCATTTGGGGAGGCTGAGACAAGAGGATTGCTTGAGCCCAGGAGTTTGAGTCCAGTCTAGGCAACATAACGAGACCTCATCTCTACAGAAAATAGAAAAAATTAGCTGTGTGTAGTGGCACGTATCTGGTCCCTGCTATTCAGGAGGCTGAGGCAGAAGGATTGCCTGAGTCTGAGGGTTGAGTCTGCGGTGAGTTGCAGTGAGTTGTGATTGTGCCACTGCACTCCAGCCTGCATGACAGAGTGAGACCCCGACCAAAAAACAATTTGAGGGAGAAAGAACCAAATACTTGATAGAACAATGGGAGAAAAGTGTAAAAATAGTCCTGAAACATGAAAAAGTGCTCACTCAGAGACGTGAATTAAAACACTTAGATATAATTTCTTGCCTGTCAGACTGGCAAAAAAAATTTTAAATGACAGCACATTCTGTTGGTGAGGCTGTGGAGGATAGGCACTCACATGTATTGCTAGTAGAATGCAGATTTGGCAGTACTTGGCAAAATTATGTGTACTTTTTAACATAGCAATCTCGTAAGACTCTATTTTGAAAATACACCTCCTGCATTCTGAAATGCATGTACACAAAGTTATGCACTTTAGCATTATAATTTCAAGCAATTGGAAACAACCTAAACGTCCACACAGGAGAGATTGAATGAACTATGTGGTACATCTACACTGTGGGGTAGAATCCACCTGTTAAAAAGAACAAAGATCTTTTAACTAATACACAGTGTTAGCCAGGACATACTGTTCAATGAAAAAGGCAAAACCCAAAAGAATGTCCACAGTATAGTGCTCTTCATGCAGGAAAGAAAGGGATTTGGGAAAATGCACATGTTGCTTGTTTGTGTGAAAGAAATGCAGGAAGGATAAATCAGAATCTAAAGAGACTGCTTATTTCCAGGGATTAGAAATTAGAGGGAAAGGGATAGAAAGAAGGATGCAGTGAGAATGGGGCAGCAAGGTAACAAGAGAGAGACACTTCTCTGAGTATGTCTTTTTATTTGGCT